AATAAACAGAGAGAGAGAGAGAAGATGCCCATATATTTCCACTATACATCTTCATCTAATAATACACATTTTTATTTAAATTTTAATATTTATATTTATCACTATTGTAATTATTGTATACATTATATTGATACATTTGTTAAAATTGCCTTAAATTGTAATGGAAAACTGATCTATGTATATTTCAAATATCTGGCTGTTTCTATTGCAGAACTTTGCTGTTCTAAAAAAAACCTTCAATAGTGTAGAGGGAAGAATTGTACCAAATGTTAAAAAATAATGTATAATTGATATGAAAGTGTAATAATATAACACCAACAGTAGATGACATTGATCTCTTATTTTTGTACAGTAGCTAATTTCTACATTTTTGCCACCAGTGAATACATATCGATTCGTGATTGGAATTTCTCTCTAGAAAAATGAATTTGAACTGAGTTCAAGATGTTTTCTCAAGCACTTGCTTGAGTTCATTCTTAACTGATGCTACTCCATAAATGGAGCATCTTCCATTACCAACAAACAGCATAACAACAACAAAAACCTCTACAAAAAACAAAAGAAAAAAATAAGTGATTCCACAATAGATTAGGAATATTTGAATACTTGCCAGAAAAAAACCAGTTTTTAATAACCTCTTAAAGTCCACAAGGCAATGGGGTAGCTCAATGTCCTTTGAGATTTCATTGCTCAGTACTGTCACTTTGAGCAGTACCTTCTAGTTTCAGCTTCAGCTAAAAAACGTAAATAATAACAATGTCTGTCTAGAAGCAGAGGATCCAGAGATGATCATCTTGGAAATGGATGCACCACAACCTCCTTCAATGCTGCTAACAACTTACCCTCATGAAGGCACTAAAAATCTGAGGAATCCAGGTAGTCACTTCTCCATACACTCCTTGCAATAGCCAGGATTGGCATGAGACTAAACCACATGCAGCAAAAGCAGTCTAGAGAGTACCTTTTTCACTTCCTTCATGTTTACAAACCTGAAAGAATCCCAAATAATATGACAAACCGTACCCTTAGCACGACAAGAGGCATCAAAATATTGACAAACCCAGGTGAGTTTGTCAGTTAAGTGCTATGCAAAAGACTGGGACCTATGAAATAGTGTGTAACTGGGAGGAAAGGGAAATGGTCCAAGGAAGATTTCTGACCCCAAGGAAGTTCAATGGGCAAGTTGATAGGAAGTCAGAAGTCACCACTCCTGCTGTTTTTTTTTTTTTTGCCCATCCATGCTAATTCTGTCTCTCTTTTTAGGTAAGGAAATATCTCTGGAACGTTGACCTAATGGGTCATGGGTTGTCCAGTGTTAAACTAAAAAGAGAATGAGCATTGATGGAACGCTGCTGATGG